GGAGCCTGGACACAGGCCTGCGCTCCCCAATCCGCAGCGAAACCGCGCCGCCCACCTCACCTGTTTCCATTGAAGGTCGTTTTATAATCCCCGGGCGAGTGCAACGCCTCCTCCGCGTAGACGGGCACGGGGGTCCGGACACACTCGTGGGAGCACTGCAGCGTCTCGTTGTAGGCGGTGAAGATGTCGAGGGCGCTGGGCACGCGGGCGGGGGCGAAGTCGGTCAAGTTCTGGCAGCTCTCCTCTTGCTGGTCCAGCTTACGCTGGTGGCTGTTGTGGCGCGGGCGCCCGCTCTGTGCGCAGCTGGGGGGGCAGGGAGATGAGAGGGGATGTGACGCTGGGGGACGTGATGCCGGAGGACGCAAATTATCGGCCGTTAATTACACATTGCTCAGCGTTCCCTTAGAATCGCGGCACTTTGGAAAGATCAGCCGCCATCGCGCGGTCCCTTGGCTTGGTTTTTGGGTTTTTAAGGATCAAATTTAGATTTCAGATAAAAGCTTTTCCCCATCAAATTTACTTGGCAAGTCATAGGGTTATAAAAGCCTTCTTATAAGCGAAAAGACGTAGGTGAGAACCTTTCTGTTTGGGAGGCACCGGGTTTTAGCTCATCGGGATAAATAAGCTCAGAAACCAGCCTGGCAAAGCAGACACGCTCCCCACTCAGCCGAGGGACATCCCTGCTCCCCGGCAACTCCACCACAGGCTCCAACTCTATCTCGTGGCCATGCCATGCTTCTGGCTGGGTGCGTGTGACACAAGGAGAAAGCCAGCCAGCAGGGACCTGCCCCAGGCCAGGCAGATCCTACACGAGGGTCTAGATGGACGTAGCCTAAGAACCGCGTGAAAAGCCAAAGCGCAGTTTGGCAAACACTAGAGCTGAGCAAACTCATCGGGGTGCTGCCCTCCTGCCCGCGACACGTCTGACTGCTGACCGAGCTCGCTCGCAGGAATCCTCCGGTGACCTCCCAATTTCACTTACTGTAAACAATTTCTACTCTACGCTGATCGCTGAATTTATTTTTTCCCCCTCTTTGGCTCCAGCATTAGGTGACTCCAGCTGCTGTGCCAACCGCGGTCGGCCGGATCAATGGTACGTGCTGCTTACGACCCCTATTAGTGAAAATTCCCGGGAGTGTTTTATACAGGATTTTCCACTCTCTTTCACTGACATTCTGCTGTGACTAGGGAAGTTTGGTAAAGTCAATCCTGTCTGAGACACAAAAGCGAGCATCACTGCCTGCTCTGCCCACACCAGCCCGCTCCCCGCAAGGTAAACTCTCTGCTGGGCAAGTAACTCGGTGCTTTTGGCCAAGCTGCTGAGATGATGTCTCTCCTCAGCCCTGAAAAGACGTTTTCCTTTAATCCTGGGCAGCGAACAGGCTTTATCATCAACCCAGTTTTCTGATTTCCTCCTGGGGGCAGGAATCGAGGTGCTGCAGCACCTGGGGAGAGCTCGGACTGGCAGGAGGTGGCCAGGCTGGAGGACAGATCACCGGAGGAGGGAACGGCCGAGTGCAGCAGCTCTGCTGCCAGCCCAGAGCTGCGGTCGTCTCGCTGCCCCAGCAACGCTGACCGCAAAGTAGGCCAGTTTCCCTGGGAAAATAGGTAAAGGCACGAGCGCCTGGAGCGAAAAGCTAACCTATTTTGCCATACTGAGAGAATAAACGGGAGCAAATGAAGGTGGAGGAGTGCTTGAGGGTGCTGGGGAATGGGGCATGTGTCAACTCCGTGGCATCCGAGGGGCTTGGGAGATTCCGTCAGTCCCTGGAAGCGTAGGGAGGGTCAGAAAATGCAATGCTTGCTGAGCTGGGCTGGTGATTTAAGGAGCAGCAGTAAAGCGGCTTAAGGCAGGCAGCAGAGGAGATGGCACCCTGCGCAGGGCAGGTCCCAGCACCCTTGCAGGGACACCCGCTGCGGCTGAACGCGTGACTCTGTCCTCACCGGGCGGCATCCCGCCGCAGCAAGGCAATGCCGGAGCAGTAACGGGCATGTGTCCCACGTGGGGCTCAGCCACCTGTCCCTGGCCATGTGCTAGTCCCCAAAGCCACCCGTCACACGTGTGGCACAGGGACGTGGATGAGCCCAGGTACCCTCTTTGGAGGTTCCAGGATAACAACACCTCATTTTCCCTGGCGATGCCTTCCCAAAGCATCCTGGGGGATGCCACGGGCTTTAGCGCTCGCTGCCTGAAAGGCACCCCCGTCCCCATCCCCCCGAGCCACACAGATCCAGGAGGCACCTTACCAATTCTTTAAGACAAGAGTTGTTATCAGAGCGGCTATGACCATGATGAGGGACACGGTAATAGTGATTATCTGATGAACCGCCAGACCTGCGGAGAAAAGAAATGAGAGAGAGACTGGGGATGGGAGCCAAGGGGGGTCCCAGGCAGCGACACCCCCACCGCGTACGGCCGCTCCCCTGCGAGCGGACCTCCCCCCTGTGCCCTTCCCCGGCAGCGGCCACGCGATCCTCTCTCCTGCCTTACATAAAATAATCTTTAAGCCAGGCCTCTCATTTCCTATCCTCTCAAGTATGTTCCTTGTCAGCCCGAATTAGGCACGAAGAACGGAAGAGATGCGGAGACGTATCCCCTCCGGGACGGAAAGGGAAACTTGAGCGCAGCCTTGCAGCGGGTGCAGGATTAACCAGGGATAATAATTACCGCGCTAACCGCCGCGCGCTTAGGAGGTCGGGTGGGCTCGTTTTCTCGTCATTCACCTTACGCAGGGTATAATTTGGGCTCGTGTATCATTCCTAATGAGCAGTTTGGAAACAAAAGCATCCCGACGTACAGTATGTTTGTGATTTTTGTGCTGCTTTCCAGTTGCAATTTCGTAATGAAATGATTTTTCCTGGCTGCAGCCCAAGGATGTGCTATTTTTCACGACCAGATGTTACGGCTCCTGATGGATGGTATTTTTATAAATAAATAAGTGTTGGCAGGACAGGAAAACAAGCAGTTATGTGTGTATTATATATATACGCACATCTGTGTGATACATGCGGAGGGCTCCCAGCTCGTGCAGGTGGCAAGGAAATCGCCGCGTCTTCCCACCCACGGGCTCCGGCCGGCTGCGGGTCTCAGCGGTGAACGGGCAGCCACACGCACGCACACCCCTTCCCCGTCTCGTGCCAGACGCCGAGCAGCAGCCCGAGCACCGGGCTGGGTAATTAGGCCAGACGAGATTGATGAGTGGTATTTTAAATCACAGACCGCGCTTGCTGCTCCGCTGCCTCCTCTCAAGGCACAGGAGTTTTGGCTCCCTGGAAAGCCGTTCTTTCGGCTCCCACTGCGCATCCTCGTGCCCCGGGGGGATTTCGGGTCCCAGCTTGCGTGCCCACGCTGCTAAGAGTGCTCATCAAGGGAGAAAAGCCTGACTCCCTGGGCAAAGCTGCCACCTCCCAGCTTTTGGGAGTGGGGGGCTCTCGTTAGCCCACGCATGCCTCTGCCCCACACCTCACCACCTGAGCATCCTCGCTCCAGATCCACCATCAACTCATCCTCCTCGGCGTTACTGTGCTACCCAGGCTTTGCCGCTGGCCACCCCAGGAAGGAGGGTGGGATCCCCACTTGGGATGCGGAAACCCCAAAATCCCAGATTTTGAGCAACAAGGTCAGCCCACAGCAACACCTTTTTAGGAAGCGCTGCCAACTCTGCTGCCAGGATGCATCTCGGACGTAAATCAAACGCTCAGAAATGTGGGTCTTGACAGTTTAATGGAATAAAACCAAGGTCACCTTCAGCGGGTCTGGTTCACCGAAACACGCCGGGTGCCAAGCCCTCGGGTAGCGACAGCTCGCGGGGAAGGCTTTGCTCCAGCCCGGGGCTGGTGCAAGGGAGCTGCTCGGGATGGAACGGTGTGAAAGCGAGGGGAGCGATGGCCTGGCACCTGCCCCAGCAACCACAAAGCTCTGGCATCTGGTGGGGCAAAGCACTCTCCTCCAAAAGAATAAGCAGAAGGGTTTATGGAAGGAAGCAGGCACTCGGCTTTGCCAGTGGATAGGCTATGGAGATCTGGGAGAAGAGCGTGAGGGAAGAGCAGGGATCCCCACTGGTTTCAAGGGCAGGATGAGGTCCAGGGCAGGTGGCAGTGGCAGATGTTGGCCACGCCATGGCCAAGGTGTTTTCTAGAGGCAGAACCAAGGAGAACTGACTTCCCAAAGGCCAACGCTTCTGAAATGCCAGCTCTTTGGATCCTGGCACGCTCCCAGTGCCGAGCCAGCAGAAAACAAGCGCCCACCGAAATGCAGGGAGGGGCAGAACAGTGCAAAACCCTGCACACGCTGGGGTTCTTCCTCTGCTCCCCAGGGCTGCAAACCACAGGTTCCCTCCCCTGGGAGCCATCGGACAGACGGCTGCTCACCAGCCCCCACCGTGTGCCCACCCCGGTGCTGCCAGGCGTGCCAGGTCAGGAGCAACACCCGCCCCGGCAGCAACCCGGCCGCATCTTCCACGGCAATCTTGGAGCGGCTCCCAGTGGGACGCTGCCGAAAAAGATGAAAGGCAAGACTCTAAAAATAAAAGAAAACCAGCCCAGTGCCCGATTCCTTTGAAAACAGAAGCAGCATCGGAAACCTTCTGCGAAGACGGGCAGGGGCGGCAGGGACGCGGGAGAACCTAACGATGCAATTAATCCCCGTGCTTGGGAAAGGCATAGGCGGAACAGATTGCAGGTGGCTGAGTGCTGGGAAGGATGGCAGCACTTGGGAGCAGGACACATGGATTTTAAGAAGGGCTGGATAATTTTAGACTCCATCACATACATAAGTTGCCATATGTACCGCCACAGAAGAAAGCTCCTTTGCATCGCATATTAATTCTGCGCCACAGCCCGAGGGGGATTTCAAGGGGACAGGAAACGTTTCTCCCAACAGAGTTCAACCACGGCAGCAATGGGAAGAGGGAAAGGGACAGGATGGGTAACTGGGATGATTCCCTAGGAAGCCCAACAGCAATACCCACTGCAATAAAGGCTGGTATGTCTTTACTCTTCCTTTGCAAACACATCAAATCCTTTCCTCGAGGCCTCCAAAGAAATAGATGGATCTGTACAGACCAAATGGAACAGAAGTACCCAAGCTGCGAGAGAAGGTGTTAACGGATGGGGTCTGCTGGGAGAGGGGAACATCCATAAGGGACACGAAGGTGAGATGAGAGGGAGACAGATGCGAAGAGCAAAGCATTATTTTAAACATGGCCCTGGGAGCCCAATCTGTCTGGAAGAAAGGGACCAGGAGGATAAAATCAATAGCTTGAAAAGCAAAATTAACCCTCCTCATCCTCCGGCGCAGGAAGCCCTGTGCCGAACATGCTAAACCTGCGCCCCAAAACGCTAGGCGGGAGAGAAGCCGGAATTACGTCAGGCTTTTCCTTGCTCATCACCGTGGTAAACGTCACAGGTAGCAAAGCTCCAATCCCAGCGAGCCACAGCACCCGGCAGCCACCCGATTACACGTTAATACCCGGCAAAGGAATGAGCCGCGGGAAGGGCAGCGCGTGGGATCGGGGAGGGATGCCCGGCGCGCGACCGCCCGGCCGGCTGCTGTAAATGCTTCATCGCGGCGAGGGGGCTGCACGCGGCTCCCTCTTACAAGGCTTTTACTAGGCAATTTGATGCAGTGACCATTTAACTCGAGGGTAATTACAGGAGAAGTATTTAATGGAATTGAAAGTGTGTCCAAACCCCTGCGCTTCTGCTAGTGCAGCAGAATTTAATGTGTCGCCTGCCAGGAGGGAAAGCTCTTCAAAGGCGCTCTTTGAACCCTTGGAAATGCTGAAATACGGCTGGGTTTTTCCACTCCACACTCTCCGAGGGCAGGAGACCCTCAGCATCCCTGCTCGGGCGCACGGGCAACCGCTGTGCATCAACCCGCAACCTAAATTCCCCACGTCCAGAGGAAAAACCCAACTGCAAAGCAAGCCAACGCCAGGGCTTTTCGTGATCCGCTGTTTTAAAGACCATATATCTGCCAGCGAGATGAAAGAGCTGAGTTTTGGCCTTTCTGGCCACCTTTTGAAACAGCTCCCGGACAGCTCTGCATCAACAGAATTAATTCCATGAGAAAATCCATTCGAGACTAATGTCTTGCTACTGCAGAAGTGCGCACTGGCAGCGAACAGGAGATATAAGCTCTTAATTAAAAACAAAGAGAACCTCTCTCCCCCAAGGCCTTTATTTCAACAGCTCTGGTTAGGGAGACCGTATTTTTCATTTTCCCAATAAAAACAGCTACGAGCTGCAACTCTTTGAAGACCCTCGTCAAGGCCTCTAAGCTGCATAAAATTAAAAAAGGAAAAAACAGCTCCGTTTCATTTTGCAGAGCATAATCTGGAGTTACCATTAGCAGTGGAAAAACAAGAGATGCTCCGAATGCCCATCCGGGAGGGCAGCGATGAAGCAGCCAAGCATCCTCCTGCCAAGGGGCCGCACAGATCGCTTCCTTGCCCCTCGTTCCCTCCTCTGCCTCAGCCAACTCCCAGTTTGAGTCAACACACCGAACGAGGGCAGAGCTCCCAAATAACCCATGGCCAGAGAGGCTGGGGAAAGGGGACTGGAGAGGCATTAAGCTGCCCCAGCCAAGAGAAAATGCATCCGATCCCTGAAAGCCTCATCCAGACGGTCAAGAGGCTTTTGGACAGAACAATTATAGAATCATGGAATGGTTTGGGTTGGAAGGAACCTTAAGGACCATCCAGTTCCACCCCCTTCCATGGGCAGGAACACCTTCCACTAGAGCAGCTTGCTCCAAGAATCCCATCGAGAGCGTCGCATGGCAATCGTAGCCACAAAGGGCTTTTCCCAGGGGGGTGAGGACTTGCCATAACGCCAACCCTACTACCTTTAGTAGCTTGCAAGAAAAATAATTTGCAAAACAAGGGTTAGATACAGGGGGGGAGGCGTGGCAGGAGCCTTGCTGCGGTGCAAAGCCAGTTCATCCACTGCCCATCCCGCTGTGCCGGGAAACCGCCTTGGGGACAGCTCTTCTGAACAGCCCCCTTGCCTCCAAAATGGAGCTGTTGCAGGCAAAGCCCCTTGGTTTTCCACCTGGTAAATCAGGGTGACCGGCTCCAAAAGCCAGCCCAGCGAGCATTAGTCATCCTGAAGTGAAAAATGCAGTTCTTCAGCAAAAAAAAAAAAAAAAAAAAAAGGCCAAGGTTCCTGGAAACCTCCTGGTATTTTCGGTTGTGATGAAAGAAAAATTTCCTGCTGCTGCCGAGAAGTATTCTTGCCAAGAACGAAGATCCTAGAGGCTTATGCTAAAGACACTGGGACTTATTTTCTCAGGTGTTACAGCAAATATCACCGAGCAATAAATGCTTCTGAGAGCAGCAGAGGAGAGTTTCTGGATCATTTAGAGACACGTGGGGAAAGGCACACACGCACAGCATCTGCTAATCCTGAGGAGAAGGAGTCCCTGCTCCCGCCCCAGAGAAAGCTCGGCTTATGGCCACCCTCTGGCTTCAGCCATCAGCCTCCATGTCCACCAGGAAAACCACCTCCTCACGGTCTGATCCTTCGAGAACCACCCGGGAAAGGCAACCGGGTGGGTGCTGGCCCAGGAGATACCATCCAGCCCCCTCGCCTCCTCTCCGGCTGCTGTGGCTCCCCACGCCTTGGCACGATGGATCAAAGAGGCGGCTCCGTCCCAACCGCCCAGGGTCTTCTTTTAAACGCATTTTATCTTTAATTAATTCCTTTGAAGCCTTTTGCATTCGCTATCTCCTTGCATCCAGCGCCCCCTCTCCTGCACCCTCGTTTTGAAGGCAGTGTCATCTCCCACCGGGGAAGCCAACGTCTTTATTATTACTATTTATTCCCGATACGCTCCCGGCCAGAGCTGGGG